CATGAGCATCGGTGGCGTCGCACCTGGCGGCGCTGCGGGAAGCGCAACGCAATCGCAGCTTCCTAGCCAGATACAAACGCAGCATTCCAGCAGCACTTCTATCCTTAGCGATCCACCTCTGCCGACCGAGACGAGCGGCAGTGGGGCGAACAGGACTGGACTCGTCGCTACTGCTATTGGAAACTCTAGCGCTGGAAGGGAAAGGAAGAAGGCTAGAAGGGATTGAGCCGAGTTTTGTTGAACGCGAACGACTTGATCGCGCCTCGGCCTCGGCCTCGGTCTCGATCTCTTGTGACTGGCGAGATTTTGACTTCATCGCCCTGCTTCAGCTGAGACGACGGCAGCAGCATCCGGAGTGAGGAAGAGGACAGAAGGGCAAGCCTGGTGCAGACACTCCCACTGCGACCGGACCTTTCAGATGTCTCAAAACGTCTTGACAGCCAGTCACCCACTTTTGTATTCGCAATGCCTGCGCAGATAGAATTGCACTCCATTCACATTGACCCTCGCAAAGAGACCTCTGAATGCAGTTCAAGAGCTGTACCCGTCTTTCAACGACCCACAACGTTTTGCCAGGCGCAAGATGGCTCCGACTTTTGTCGAGCGCGCAATTGCCAACATGCGAGTCATTGGTTTTCAATATATAGCACGATCTCTTGCTCGATTGTGCGAGTTGCGATGACAGTACAAGTACAGTATTGCGTGGCTTTCCGGAGCTTGCAAGGCCCAAAAGATGAGAGGAGGTGCTGACTTGAGACCTAGGCTTGACTGCCATGACGCTTGCGAATTCAGCCCAATCCTGCGAGCATACGAAGTTGCGCTGAAGAACAGTTGTTTTGGCTTTTCTACAGTGCTCGACCAGGGTTTTCAGTGCCGATGCGATCTCCGGAGGCCCTGTGCAGATGCGCTGGACGAGCGAAGCTCGAACTACTTTTGGTCACACGCAAGAGTCGGCGCTGCAATCGATCTTTGAAGAACGAAACGGCGAGACAAAGACCGCAGAGAGACCTTGCTGTTCCGTGCTGAAGCGTTTCAAAAGAGATGCTAGGCTGTCGGAGCTGCGCTAGGTTGGCAATCGGCAGCGCGAACAGCTTTACGCTTCCCTCTTGCGCTTCCTCGTCTTTCCCTCGTCATTGCAAGCACGCGTTGATGCATCCGCGCCCAAACTCTTCTGAGACCTCTCTGCTTTCTTCTCTTTCTTTTTCTTCTTCTTCTTCTTCTCCTCCTCCCTCCTCACATCTCCGTCTCCCCGTTTCATTGTATCACCTGAACCAAGCTCTGGTTTCGCATCGCGCAACTTCTCTTTCTCACCGCTATTAGCTGTCATCCTCCCCACTTTAGCATTCTTTTCCTCTTTCTTGCGCCTCTTGGCTTCTCTTCGAGCTCTTCCTTCCTCTTTCTCCCTCTTCTCCACCTCTTTCACCCGTAGCCGCTCCAACCTCCTCTGCACTTTCTCCTCCTTCTGCGCGCTCTTCACCTGCATCTGCACCGGCACCACCTCTGCCTCCTTCTCTTTCCGCGCAGTCAGCCTGGGCAGTGTCTCGCTGCCAGTCGAAGCGGCTTCTTTTCGAGAAGGCGAGGGCGCGGCGTCCAACATTGCGTTCTCCTTTGCTCTTTGCTTCTCGCTCCATTCCAGATGCACTTTGCCCCTAACAAAGCCGGCCATGAGGGCTTTTTTGGCCGATTCCCTCTTGGCTGAAGCGATCAGAGAGAGGCGTGCTGCGCTCGTAGTAGACGTGGAAGTGAAGGATGAGGACGGCGCGGTGGTAGTCTGAAGCGATGAAGCAGCCGAGGGCAGCGCTAGAGCTTTTGCTGATGCCTTTGTCGCAAAGGAAGCAGGGCAAGGCATCATCGCGTCGTCAATCAAAGGAAGAGATGTCTCTTTCATTGGCGCACTGTCATAATACGCACTTCGAAAAGACAATCCCACCATTCGTTCGCTCTGTCCCTATCTTTGCCGATCCCCTTGAGACCCCTCTTCTGAGGAATGGCGAGCGGCTTCTTCAAGCCTGATCCGTTCAAGCCCAAAGGATTGCCCTGGCCCGCCCAGCCTTGAGATTGCATATACGTGCTTGTATTGAGAGGCATGGTGAATCTTCTGAGAACGGGTGTATGCTGGGCTGCTGTGAGTGTGAGTTCCGGCTACGACGCCCAGTCTCTTGCGTGGTCCTGCTGCGAGCGGTGTTCCGGATCACGCCTGGATGGGATGATGACCTTATCTCCAGTCTCGGATGGCTCGGTGGACAGCGCTCGCTACCGCTCGTCACGAGCAGATCGTCGTGAGGCTTGAAGATTGGAGATTTGGTGCTTTTCTCACTCCCTTTGGCGCAATCGCTCCCACAGGATTGCTGCTACGAGGGGTGACTGGTGTGCAATCTGCCATGGAAGCAAAGGTACACTAGACTACAGCCTCGAAATACATAGGCTCGAATCCCGTTCCAGCTCCGCTAGCCGACTTCGAAAATCAAAAATCATAAATAAATTTTGAATCAGAATGCTGGGATGTGGGCACGGACGAGCACGTGACCGTCAACAGCCCACGTGATTTTGCGTCATTCACGCCGGCCAACGCGGCCTCCACATCTTCATCTGTCAGCTGCATCGGACGAGTGTGCGTGATTGTTGGCGCGCAACGTACCGCGGCCGGTAAGCGGGGGCCGCGAGGACGAGCATCATCATGCCATTATGCCGTATGCTAAGCTCATATGTCCGTGCGCGGGCATTTTGTCAGAAGCGAAAAGTCTCGATCGCGCATCGAACGCAGCGTCATGTTCTCTTCGAACGCGCGCATCGCATCCTCGCATCGTTATATTCTCCACCATACATTCCAATTCCAAATCGCACCATCTCCCAAGCAAGCAAGCAAGCTCAAGGTCGTCCATTCCAGACGTCCTTACCACCCCCGCAAATTTTATTCAAGCTGGGTCAACTCATCTCTTACTTTAAAATCACCCCTTGGTCCTCCTTGGACGAAGAGAGCAAAATGTCGGCTCAGAAGGTTGTAGAGGATCTGATCAAGAGCACTACGGTTGCCGTATTCAGCAAGAGCTACTGCCCTTGTGAGTCGCCCTTCAGGGGATGTGTGGTGGAAAGGCGGGGCAAAGCGGCAGACGCATGTTGCGGGAGACGCATGTTTCTGAGGAGAAGAACACAAAGTTATGGACCCGTCTCGCATGTCATACAGCCCGTAGGACAAGCAAAACCTCGGCACTGCTTCAACAGATCACCTTTCACGTGCAGCATACTGACCTCTCTGCATTGGCATCTCGCGCATTTCACAGACTGCTCCCGCGTCAAGTCCGCTCTTCCCTCTCTGGGTGCTCAGTTCAAAGTGCTGGAGCTGGACCAAGAATCTTCGGGATCAGAGTACCAATCCTACCTGGCCGAAAAGACTGGTCAGAGGACCGTTCCCAACGTATTCGTCAATGGCAAACATGTGGGAGGTTGCGATGACTTCTTCAAGGCTCAGAGCTCGGGAGAGCTGAGCAAATTGATCGGTGCTTGATGCGAATACGAAGCTTCCGACTTTGGAGCAGGAACAGGCAGGCGAGGGGCCTGTCCTAGCAGCATCAGGTTGGAGAAGGGTGGTGTTGCAAGAGGAACTGGAGATCGTTCTCAAGACGTCAATGATGCATCAGCATCATCCCCAACGTCCTGACCACTTTTCTGCTGCCCAACCACTCCTGTCATGCTCCCTCTGCGCTACCCCATCTGCGCCCTCTCGATCTGCATTGAATCGAATACAACCGCTCCACGTTCTGTTGCTTCATCATAGGTGGTGCTCACCGGTCAGCTTTGGCGTTCTCGTCTGTGGCAACATGCGCAACTTCTTCCATGTTCGCTTGTCGTCTCACGCAAACAAACAGCTCAGAGATGGCGCAGGCGAAGCGTTTGCGCTAGGGAAACGGATGACATTCCTTGCCTTTCTTGCGCCGAATGGCGCGATGCAAGGTGAGACTTGGCGTTTGCAAGGGAGAATAGGGAGCGGAATCGATTACAGGGGGGATGGATCGCGTTGGCCGCGTATAGCCGTCGACTAGTCTTGGCAGGGATGGTGCTCGATGACGGGCTCGAATTGCGGAGCAGTCTGCCACGCTCGCTGCTTGCACAGATGTGCCAGTCTAAGTTTGTACTGACAATTCTACCCGGTGCTTTCGCTATGTGCTTCGTGAGGCGCCTTGACTGCTTTGTTCGTGGCCAGAAGGCATGCAGCGGCTTCAGGCGCAATGTCGAGGCGTGATGCTCAAGCGCTCAAGAGAGCATTGAGAACTTGCTCATCCGTCACATTGCGGACACTATTCACAGGGACGTAGACGATAGAGCGTTACACGCATCGTGTATCGTCAGCGTGCTGTCAAATGCAATAGGACGCCCTCACCCCGGGATCGCTCGTTGCCCCTTCTTGCCCCATTGACTCACTTGTCGCCCTTGTAGTTGAGCTTCTTCAGCACTTCTATTACTTGTTTCCTTGTGAAGCCCTGTATGGAGGCAGAGATGGAGGCCAAGTTGGCTGGCATGCCCGGTGCGGCTGACCCCTAGAAGCCCCTCCGAGCACTTACCATATCCTCGAAATTCTTGACATGCTGAGGCTCCAGCCCCGCCGTTCTGACTTCGTCCACCTCCACTTCTTTGTTCTTGTTCTTGTTGGCACTCGCTTTCGCCGACGCCCCGGAAGCTCCACCCGCGTACAGCTGGCACCAGTACCTGGCCGTCTCTTCCGCACCCTTCTTGTCCTTCAAGAAGTGGCTTGCGACGTGAGCATCCTGAGGGTCTTGGGGCTCTGGAGAGACCAAAAGCGATCGGAGAGAGATCAAGGTTGATTTGAGGGTGAGGACAGGCGACCAAGCATTCTTCAGGATATCCAGACAAATGAATCCGGTTGCAGAGGAGACATTGGGATGATATATCTGTGGCGATGCGAAGCTGGCCTGTCAGAAAACAGAGATCGGGAAACCCCGCATAGCTAGCCCAAGCAGACCGATAGCCAGCTCGATAGCCAGCCCGATAGCACAACGACTGACCTTGGTGATGAAGCGCATCTGGATAGGCTGGAATGGGTACTGCTCGGGAATGACCACATCCTAGTAGGTGAAGCGGGAGAAGCGATGCGGGTGAGCGTAAGCTTCAGGAGTAGCTCTACAGGGCAGCAAGACACCCGATGCCGCCCTTTGTATTGTCGTGCCGCACTACTGGGGGGCAACGATACCCTCCTGGCTGGTGGTGGCAGTGTTCGCCCACGCGGAGCTGGTCATCGTCAAGCTTCGATTCTTTTGCGCGCTCTAGTGTTGCGTCGAAGGAGCGAGGAGGAGGACGATCCAAATGCGCTAGCAGATCGCGACTCACCACATCGAAGGTGCCGCTCTCGTAAATACTACCCTCTGGTCCTTTGAATGTCCCTTTCAAATGAAAAGGTGAGTCTGTTGTAATAATCACGCAGTCCGAATCAACATCAACAATGAGGAGCAGCCTGAGCCTGATCACCGCTCTGCATCACTGGCCTGCCTCGACGCCTGTATGCGCGCCGGACTATGACTCACCGCCTACCAGCTGAATGGAGACACCGCTAGCTGGATCTGACTGAATGTCCGCGATCTCCTTGTTGACGCGTCGGGTACGAGGATCCGACATCTTGAGCAGAGCCACGCGGCAGCGGACAATGGAAGTGCTATACTCCCTCCTATCCCGCGTTCCTTTTGATGACTTCCTCTCCTACCAATGCGAGGTTGGCTGGGGCGCTGATAGTGGGCGTGTCGACGTGGATGGTAGCCGAAAGAGCTTCCGATCTCGAGACTGTGAAGGCGCGCGATGCGACGAAAAGGATCGAGGCTGGGTTCCAGCTCCTTGCGACGCACCGCGACCTCTGCTTGCGACAAAGTCTGCTTTCGGTGAAAGTATGGATGAAGTGATTCTGAGCGACAATCCCTCTACGCAAGCAAAAGGCAGATTGGAGGAGAGTCGGCTGGTTCCACCTTCACCCGTTCAAGCTCATCACGTCGTTCACGATCGTGCGCTTGACTGACGTTGGGTGGTGCTAGAAGCGATTAAGAATCTGAATCCGAATCCGTGGTTTGATTAGTGATGCTCATTCACGATTGCGTTGCTCCTCGTGACTCTGACTCGCGTTGCTTCTTCATAAGCCATGGGCAAACACGCCTCACAAAAACGCGCCTTCGCTTAGCGCGTGCCACAAAGCAGGCAGGCGATCGTCAATCAGGTGGAGGACGACCGAGCATCAGGCGCCACGCGTGGAAGCGCATGTGTATCGTACGATACAACCCGCCGAGATGTCTCAGTTTTCATCACGTGATCTTCGCTACCGACCCGATTTCTTTGGTGCGCAAATCAAATTCGAAATTCGGTTCGCGGTGCCGCCATTGATACAATCAGCAGTCTCGACTTCTCGCAATCAAGTGACCCCTCTTCCCGCTTCGCTCCAATCCTGGCTCAATTTCGAATGAAGATACTCATGACCTCTTGATGACACCTCGCATGTGGTGATGGTGACCACTCACGACTTTTGACCGGCGGCGCAGCAGCAGGACGGCGTAGTCCATGCATCATGCATATGGGCGCCGCGCTCTCTCGCCTTACCGCCGGTAAGGGCGATCGAGCTACTAGCTGCTGTACAACGTAAGGCCTGCATGCGCGTGCGCCGGCGGAGCGCACGGACCTTGGACGCTTCTCTCCGCTTCGGCACGGTGGACCTATGTGCAGTCACATCTACGAGATGCGGGTAATGTGAATCACATCGCAAATGTATGACTGACTGACGTTTAGAGCATGCAGCTAGCACCGCGCTCCAAGGGCAGGCTTTTGTGCCGTACCCGCGGTCGAGGCCGGGTTCCAGCGCACATGGCAAAGGCGCGTTGATGGCTTCGAGAACAGACATGTGCGCTTGCTGAAACTGCTGACCGCGCGCCAGATGGCACCGCATGCACGAGGTTGCTCGTTCACCTTTCACCACGTCCCACGCAGTCTCAAGCAAGAAAGCTCTTTCTCTCCACCATCGCATCTAGCCTCGTCGCTCTCATCCCACCTGTCGACGCGCTCGCAGCCTTTGCAATGTCCGAAGCTCCTAAGCATGGCGTGCAGCGCCTGCATTCTTTCAAGGATGTCGCGCAAGCAGTCCTGCACAACATCAGGTGAGCTCGACCTACTGCTAAGCGGCTGCTCAGCTCAGCTTTGCAACATCACTCATATCGACTTTGCGCAGGCATGAGTCGCAGTCGGAAGCACATCGCCTCTTCCGTGAGCAGCCAGGTCATCAAGACTTGACGAGCAAGCAACCAGCCAAGCACATCGTTCCAGGCATAGAGCAGCCAGGATCCGTCGGTGTGGTGTACGTGACAGAGCGCGCTGCTGCCAATGGCTTCAAAGCCGGGGCCAAAGACTGGGCCAATTTTGGACAGGGCGCTCCCGAGACGACAGACCTAGAGGGAGGCTGTCCAAGGCCTACAGTCCTTGACCTCTCGGCTTTCGGTGACGACATTCACGAGTACGGACCTACCACTGGTATCACGGAGCTACGACAAAAGGTGGCAGATTATTACAACCACACTTTCCGTCAGAACAAACCGAAGAAGATTGAAGCTGCCAACATTGCCATCGTGCCAGGAGGCAGAGCTGGCTTGGCACGGATCATGAGCGTACTGGGACCGGTGCTGCTTGGCTATAGTCACCTAGACTATGCAGCGTATGAACCTCTGCTTGGCATGAGTCAGGTTCAGGGTGTTCCCATGCAGCTAGAAGAGTCGAAGCGCTTCAAGGTAACCGCTGCCGACCTCGAAGCAGAGGTCAAAGCACGAGGTCTGACTACCCTGCTGCTGTGAGTTTGGAGGTGTCTGTCTCTGCATGTGCGAGGGTACCAGCACACAACCAGCTCACCTTTCAGAGGCGGCCGCTGCTGTTGCTACTGTTGTCACCCTCAGCTCCAACCCTCGCAATCCCACCGGTCAAGTGAGTATGCTTCTGCTTCAGCCAGAGCGAAAGCGAGTCTGACGCGTACTTCCCCTTCAGATTATTGAAGGCCAAGAATTGAAAGACGTGGTTGACATGTCCAGCAGGCTCGATGTCACGACCATCATGGACGAATTTTACAGCCACTATCTTCTTGAAGGAGAACTTGGGCGCTCTGTGAGCGCCATGGAGTACATTGATGACATAGAGGAAAGCAACGTTGTCCTGGGTGCGTGGTTGAGGCATGGATTGCTCCGCGGAGCGCCCCTCTGCGCCTCAAATTTGTCGTGCTAACAAATGTCTACTACTCGCTTTGCCCTTCCAGTCGATGGACTGACCAAAAATGCGCGCTTACCAGGTGTGTTCCTTGGCTCCAGGCATTTGTCGCGTGATGAAGCTGCTTCTCTCATTCTCTCCCCCCCAATGTCTACCGTACAATCTCAGGCTGGCGTGTATGCTGGGTCTCAGGTCCGCGCGACCTTATTTCTGCCATTGGCGCCGTGGGGTCATACCTAGATGGTGGGGCCTCCCATCCCATGCAGGTAGGTCGTGTACTTTCGCGCGCCTTTCGTCTGAAGGCTCAATTCCCCTTCCTGACGTGTCTGGTGCAGGTCTTCGCCCTACCAATGCTGGATCTCGATCGCATTGCGCAGGACCGACTCGCCTTGCAGAAGCACTTCCGCATGAAGAGGGACCACGTGCTCAAGCGCCTCGCAAAGATGGGACTGCCCGTCAATGTGCCGCCTGTCGCGACATTCTACATTTGGCTCGACCTCAAGCCATTGCCGCCTCCGCTCAATAGCGGCCTCGTCTTTGCTGAAGAGCGTGAGTCGCGCGCGCCCCTACAGCTTCGACGGTCGTGTCCGACGGCTCGCTGATTCTCGCTACGCGCCACGTACGCTTTTGCAGTGCTTAAGGAGAAGGCGATTGTGACGCCCGTAAGTTCTGAGATCGTTGCGAAACTCGCTGAGCCAAGCTGATGCTTTCAAGTTGTCGATTACTTGTCTGCTTCAGGGCATCTTCTTCGACATCAACCCGGGACACAGGCGCAACATTGTGGACTCACCTTGCGAAAGCTACATCAGAGTGCGTGGGGTGGAGGGAAGCAGCGAGAGGGTCTGTCTGCTGTGCTGATGTCAAAGTCTACCTGCACAGATCTCTTTTGGGCCCAAGCTCGAAGAGCTGGATAGAGGTCTCGATGCCTTGTGAGTCTGTTTCTGCAACTGCCTTCAGTAGGACATGCTCTGATGCTTCCGACCTTCTTCTTTCGCAGCGAGCGAGTGCTCGCCAAGGCCGCTAAAGGGGACACGAGCCTCGGCACAAACTACGCAAGGGCTGACCCGAGCACGAAGCATCAGGTCACACCGCAAGCGCACGGTTAGAGTGACTAGCACGATCGTCTTTTGCCCAAGCTCGAGCACCTCCCTCAACCTTGTCAGGGTCACATCTGATGCTCTATGTCAATTGTCGATCTATATGCGATGTGCCAAGAATGCTTTTGTTATTGTGTTCTGACTCGTCTGCTCTTTCTCGAGCATTCTTGCTGTCGTGCGCACCTCGTCGGCCGCTTGAATCATGGAGTGACCGCGAATTCAGCACTGGCGAAAGATGGCGGGTAATACTGTAGCCTCGGGTGTAAGCGGGCTTCTAAGATGCCGAAGGGTGCATCTCTCCTTGTGGCTCGCAAAACGTCACTTTGCAAGATCTTGGACGCGGCATGCACGCGCGAAGGAATGTGGTCATCATGAGCAAGAAGAAGACGTATGGCGAGCCCGAAATGCGGGAGCTCAGCAGCTAGGCAGCAAGGAACGCACCGTTAGTATGCACATCGTGAATGCAGTTAGCTATAGGCGGCTCGAGCAAAGATGTGGAGAAGGAAGCAAAACAACAACAATGCACGCGCTCGGCCGCATTTCGGTCTCCAGTTCCGCGCTAAAATGCGATTTGTGCTGGCTGGGCTGGATGATTCGTGATCCACGATTCTAGCGCGCGCGCTCGTGAGGGAATCCCGCTCGCGAAGAAATCACCAATAAGTCACAGTGTGGGGCAGCGCGGTTGAGCAATGCGTTGCAAGAAAGTCAATGCGTGCACTCACACAACACGCAAGTGGAACGCAACGCAACGTGGGGCTCCGGGGCTCCTCCTGATCTCTCTGACGTTAGCGCCAAAGTTCCACCGAGCATCGGAGCTAGAGCTGCTTTAGACGATGCTTGGCTCAGCACTCCCGGGCCGCACAGGCCGACGGATCTTGCCGTCGCTCTAGGAGCCGTGCCGCTTGGGCAGAGCCTCGCTTTGAGACCCCACGGGGTTCAAAGTTGCCAGAATGCTGGAGCCCTGTGTGGCCGTCGGTGCAGAGTACTGTAGCTGTGATGGCTGTCCAGCGTTCAGACGAGGAGCATGGCCAACGCTGCTCACAGTGCCTGAGCGCCTTGAGCATCGCCTGTTGTCAAGCTCGTCGAAAGGTATTTAAGCAAGGCTACTCTGCAAATTTGTCGACCCCGTTCTCAGGCTTCTCACCACTAGCGCAGCGCTTCCCCCCTCAAAAGCTCAGCAGCATGAAAGCCACCATCACATCGACGCTGGGCAGTGCTGCGGCGCTGCTGGCAGCTGTCAGCTCTAGTCAAGCAGCACCCGCCGGACTCTCTGTAAGGCAAGAGCAAGGTGTGCGGGCCTCGTACGATGTCACCAAGTGTCCAGGCTACAAGCTCGACAGTCCGATCAACGAGTCCGAGCATGGCTTCACTGCTCCCCTCTCCCTCGCTGGTGTTGAGTGTCACGCGTACGGCTACGACATCAACAATCTCACGCTCTCGGTGGTGTACGAGACGGTGGACCGGATGCATGTTCACATCTACGACACAGATCTCAAACAGTACCAGCAGCCCATAGACATGCTCTTCAATCGATCCGACTCCGATCCTGCCAAGGTTGACAACGCCTCCACCAAGGGTGCTTCCCACCTCGAGTTCCACATGTCCGACAATTCTTCGCAGCTGTTCGAGTGGTGGATCACCCGAAAGGGTTCTGATGGCGCACCCCTCTTCGACACACGTCAATCGAACCTTCCTACATTCGATCAAGGCCTTTCTCAATTCAATGACAGCCAGCGCAACACGACAGCCATACGCAGCAACGCCATGGTGTTCGAGAATCAGTATCTGCAGCTATCCTCTGCTCTGCCAAAGGACGCTTCCCTGTACGGACTGGGCGAGCGCTACAGCGGCGGCGGCATTGGCGATTCCAGCTGGAGACTCCCCACCAACATGCTTCAACCTTTCTTCACGCTGGATGATGGCGATCCTTTGGAGTCCAACATGTACGGCTACCATCCCATCTACCTCGAGACTCGCGCGACTGCTGACAACAAGACCGAAAGCCACGTGGTGGCTTTCCAATCGACCGCCGGTCTCGACATTCTTCGCCGTGAGAATGACCAAGGCGCTTTGATCCAGTACCGTGCTATCGGTGGCACGCTAGACTTCCGCTTCTTTAGCGGCTCCACCGAAGCCGCGACGCCACCTGCTGACGCCGAGGCCGAGCAAGTCGAGGCCACCGTCGGGGCCTCGCTTGCTTCCCGCGCTGACATTGGCAGCAGACAGGAGGCGAGCAATGCGACGGCTTCTGACGATTTCGACGCGTCTCGCCTCCTAAACAACCCCACGACGGCCTTTGAGCAGTACGCAACTTATCTTGGTGGTGGACCTCTTCTCGTGCCTCGATGGGCCCTCGGTCTGCACTTGCTGCGCTGGGGACTCAACACCGTCAATGACAGTCGGGAAATGGTTGAGAACATGCGCCTGGCCGACATTCCCCTCGAGACTGCTTGGGCCGACATTGACTGGCTGCAAGCATACCGCAACTTCGCGCCAGACCCCAACCGCTGGCCCGCTGAGGAGCTCAAAGCTTATGTCGAGGAGCTGGCTACGAAGAACCAACACTTTATGCAGATCGTTGATGGTGCTATGCCCGCCGCCCCAACAAACGACACCGATGTCTACTTGCCGGGCACTGCTGGCGATGAAATGGACCTCTGGTGGAAGAATGCGAATGGCACCGACTACGTTGGTCAGGTATGGCCAGGCTACACAAAGTGGCCCGACTCTCATCACCCCAACTCGAGCGAGTGGTGGTACCAAAGCCTGGCGAATCTTTCCCAGACGCTGCCCAACCTGGCCGTGTGGCTCGACATGCAAGAGCAATCCTCCTTCTGCATTGGTTCTTGCGGATCTAACCAAAACCTCAGCGACACACCCGCTTACCAAGCAGCGACGAGTGTTGCTGGATGGCCCGAAGGTTATTCGAACACGACCTTCGGCAACTCTGGCAACATTACCGTGAATGGTACGCTGACCTTTGCGGGCGTCGGCTCTGGCAGCGATGAACCTCTGCAGCGCCGTGCCGAGCTCCCTAGCAGCGAGCTGTCCGTCCGTGCTGCCAATGCCAGCGACTTCCACTATTCTCCCGCCGATCACGTGTACCAGAATGCCACGCAACGTTTCCTTTGGGATCCGCCTTATGCCATCCACAATGGCTGGACATCGAGCCCTGGACCATTGGTTGACAACCTCAACAAGAAGACCATCTCCATGGAGGCCGTCTCGAAGGGCGGTGTGTCCCACGACGTGCACAATTTGGAAGGCAGCTTGACCGGAGCACACATTCATGACTCTTTGCAGCGCATCAATCCCGAGTCGCGCCCCTTCATCATTGCTCGCTCGACCGCTCCTGGTGCAGGACGTCGTGTACATCACTGTGAGTAAGACGGGTACTCGCTGTTTCTTTGGCCGGTGTTGACGTTAGATCATCGTCGATTGCAGGGCTTGGTGACAACTACTCGACGTGGCAATACCTTGCCAAGTCGATCCGGGGTGTGCTTCAATTCCAGCTCTTTGGCTTCTTTTCTGGCTCAGACGCCTGTGGTTTCAACCGCAACTCGAACGAAGAGCTCTGTGAGTGCTTATCAATTTGAAGAAACGCTTGACAATGTGGCTGATCGCGGCACTTTCATCCAGGCAACCGATGGATGTCTCTTGCAGCCTTTACGCCTTTCGCTCGTGGCCACAACACACAAGGCGCCATTTCGCAATTCCCTTACGACTGGGAGAGCGTGGCCAACGCAACGCGTACAGGCTTCTATAAGCGTTATGAGCTCCTTCCGACGCTCTACACCGCTATCGCCCGTCACTCGCAGAGGGGCACACCTGCTGTGAAGTCTCTCTGGGTCGACTTCCCTGAGCACTTCAACGAGCTGAAGGCTACCGATACGCAGTACATGTTTGGCCCGCTGCTCGTCACACCCGTGCTGCAACCCAACGTCACCACTGTCGACGGCTTCTTTCCTGCTGCGGGTGGTGCTTGGCGCAACGTGTTCGACAAGTCTGCCGTTACCATTTTCAACAAAAACATTACCATCCCTGCGCCGCTTTCCAGCATCAATGTCCACCAGCGACCTGCGAGCGTTTTGCTCACACACGCAAGACCCGCTTACACCACCACAGAGTCCGCCGCTGGTCCTTTTGGCCTGTACGTCAACCTGGGCGACGACGGCAGCGCGACAGGCGATGCGTACGTCGACGATGGTCTGACTCCACCGCCAAACCCCGCCAAGGAACTCAAGTTCAGTGCCAAGAATGGAAGCTTGACGGGCGAGGCGTCTGGCGACTACAATCTGGACCAGAAGCTCGACGAGATCTTGCTCTTTGGTCTCGATGCTGCGCCATCGAACGTCACTGTCGGTGACAGACAGTTGGAGCAGGGCGCTCTGATCTTCGACAACAACACCCAATCGCTCAACATCACGGGTCTGGGTATCGATCTGAATGGTCCTTGGTCCGTCACTTGGCAATAGGTTCGCAGTGTCAATTCCCATATTTTACCGATGGATAACATGACACCCTCTCGATCGCGCGACTTGCCCATTCAACTTGAGTCCAAAAGCTTCCAGACGCACCATGTCCAGCGGTTGACATTGACATTGAATTCAATCACTTGTGATCAGCGCGGGGAGGTTATTCCGACCGAACCTTCAGGTGTGATGCTAATAACAGAGTCGAGAGCTTCGCGTATTGGTATAGCTGCTGCAGCTGTTGCCAAGTCCCCTGTGGATTTTCCGTCGCGCGCCAAGAGCTTGCGTTCGCATGACGCTGCCAAATCAGCGAGACGCGCCGCAAAGCTTGCATCCATCCCTCCCGAATCAGCTTCTCCACAGCACGCACTTCGACTCGCAAGTCAAAGGGCAAAAATTCAGCGCCCCACACACATGCAATGCAAGCAGCATGCGCGTTGGTCGCAACCGCTGATGCCTACCCACTCGTGACTCTGCATGCCAGCAGAGTCGAGGATGTTGGACGCATCGGCTACCAAGTGCGGTGCCATGCACATCACGCATTCACAGTTGTGAAGCAGGCCGGGCCATTCACGATGAGCGCAAGTTTTAGACGCCGAGTGGCTTTTGCAGCAGGGACCCCCCAAATGGGACTCTGCGCGTGCGCACGCATGCCCTGCAAGATCGAAGGGAAGCGACTAAAGCGAACAGACCGGGCAATCGTGAATAATATGACTGGAATGACTTGACGGAATTTCCGTCGCGCTTTGAAGCGAAGCAATCTTGAGTCGTGAATGTTTACGCGACCTGGAAACGCGCGGGTTGCACGCACTCTTCCGCATGAGCACCGGGCTTGACATTAGACACGGTTTGTAGTCAAGACTGCTGGCACGAATCCGAACGCATCGCTGCTCATACACCTCCCTATCTCTGTCACTTAAGCTATCTGGGGCTGCACTGGGCTGGGGCTGGGCAGTTTCCTCAGCTTTGTTTCACAAACAACCCCTCAGAAAGTTTCCGGTGTGAATGTACGTCGCAGGCGCTGCAGCGACCTTTCGGGTATTCTGGTCTCCATGCATCATCCGGCACAATCGTGACTGGCTCAACACCAAGTGACGCTCGATCGCAGTTTGTCGAGGCTCATGCAGGCGCCGATGCGACCGGGGTCACAGGCCGAAGAGCTGATCATTTCACCGCGATGTCGACTCTGGGTCGTCACGCAAGCTCACGACCGATGTGCTACTGTATACTTAGTTGTAGCATTTCGTCCAGCAAGTCGCCAATCACGAATGTGAATGACTGATCACGACAAAGTGAAACCTTGCACGCCTCGCCAGGTTTCACCCGGCTGCAATGTCCTTCGGGGCATGTTGCAGCTGCAGGCACAGCCGCAAAAAAACGCTAACGGCCGAGAGGCTTTTCTTTTCGGACCCCGATCGGCTTAATGATGTTTTCAGCGCTCGCACAGCCCGCGCACCGCTGCCGCGGGGCCCTGGCAGCAGGGTGCGGCTCTGATTTTTGTTTTGGGTGATGACCAGTCACGAATGAGTGTGGTCGGAGCGGGCAGGAAGAACAACTTCAATTCCAAGTGGACAGTCGAGGAGGAAGAAGCACAAAAGTTGCCGACGATACATCCAGAAGTTCTGCGAAATGACCACGGCCACGGCCACCCGAGTCCAACAGGGGCTCGGTGGGGGCACGGGTTGCCACCACGAATCACGAATGCCGCCGGCTGTCCTGATAAAGCCAATCTGAGCGGAGCGCAAAGCGAGCTCGACGCATATGATGCAGCTAGAGAGCGTCGAGATGGGAGGACATCTGCAGAGGCAGCGAGCTGGCATGGACAGCGTGTTGCGAGCCTTGGAAACCGCGTCGCGTGATTTCTCTCCGCGTCAATCGCGAGGGCTGCGATGGCGCCTGCGCAAGCTGATGTCGCTGACGATCATGCATGATGCAGCATGCGTGCATGCATGCCTGTGCGCAGAAGCCGCGGCCCGCATCGGTGTCAGATGATGACGGGCGCGTGATGTCTGCGCCAGCGCCATCTCGCCCGCCGTCGCACTTGTGCAGTCCCAGCCCTTCTCACTTCTACCGCATCAAGCTCCTGAAA